TCCATGCAACTCTGCATGGCACAATTCTTCTGCCATGCAACAGAGTACACACATTCTTTCTCTTCTGCTCTTCTGACCAAATATAGGTAGTCCCTGGGTTACAAAGAGCCCGTACTTATGAATGCACAGCCTGCCAGAAATCCTATATGAATATTACTAGCAAAAAACTACCAATGGCTCTAGGGAACCACATGATGCGTTTGGCAACACGTCTCTCAATGGCCATGTAGTTCCCTAGAGATACAGTATTTGTGGCTTTTTGTCATGTTGAAGTAGGGATGGCAAAGTTTGAGAAGCAAGATCCAAACATGAAGAGGTTCATAAAGGTCTACCATGCAGTAACCAAGGCCCTCAGCTGCTACAAGGCCATTCAAGATGAGAAAAAGAAAATGGCTGTACAAACAGCCCTTGAGGCCTATTCAAGAAAGGAACTCCAGTGGTAACCCGCCCCCCAGAAGCACAAGCAAACCCTGACCCTCCAGTACCAGATGCATCCCCATCATCATCAGTTAATGTTAGGCGTAATGGTATCTCACAAATACTCGAAACTGCTTTAAGAACTGTTTCTTTTATTGGTTTTTTTCCAATACTGTTTACTAATTCTTTCTCTTCATTACCTGTAGTTACTCTATTATTACTCTATTATTATCATTATTACAATGCTGTATTGTGTTTAAGATGTTTTAGTGAAAATGGAAATGCTTCTTAAGTGTTTTATAAGCACGGAAAAGTAAAGCATATACTATGACAAACATTTGGTTTACTCATGTGATCCGACTAACAGACAAATTTGATTTAAAGATGTTTTCAGGAATAGAATTCCCCCATAACCCTTGGACTACCTGTAGATAAAGTCTGGGAGAGGAAAGATGTAGACAACCATTCCCCATACTCCCCGTTGCAAGGCTAGTGCAGCTCACCTTAGAGGGTAAAATATTAGTATAATATGGTTAAATATAGAACATGTCTGCTCTATTTATTTAATACTGTATTTTATTATTTTTGTAAGCTGCCTTAAAGTATATAGAAGGAAAGGTGGGACACCAATACCTGATTGTACTCATGCGTACATGCCTATTTTTAAAATGTAAATTAGGTCAGTTACCATTCCTAACAATGCTTGGATTGTTCCTGTGAATATTAGTAGCATCTCTAGAGCCTTCAAGACACTTTTGTCTTGATTTTTCATGCCCTGTTTTGTGAACACTCATTTTATCTCAGCTCTTGACCTTGCAATACTTGCTGCAGATCTTCATAGGTCTTCCTTCCCACCCAAGATGTATCTCCTAATGAGGGGAGCTCTGTGTCTTCTGAAGCAGAAATACCCACATCCTTCTCTTGACTGTGGGTTGTTTTAGTTGGGACAGGTATCTGAAGAGTTAAATAATCTACCATCCCCACTCCACACCCCATTCAGAAGGAACTCATTTCCAAAAAGGAGCCAGGGCTGAGAAATGCAAATAACTGTTTCGGACAGCTGCAGGCTGTATGCCTCCCCGAGATGCCAGGGCCCCAAATGAGACATGTCAGAGTACAAATTGAAAATGCCAATTTCGCTTATGCTGCCACGCTGCTCGTCACAGCTAAATCCTTCTCTGCCACCCCTCCCCCCACAGTTCCCACTTACTGCATGATGGGTGCTTCTCCTTAATCTAAATCTTCCTGACTTCCTGGATTATTACGGTACTGGACTTCTTCTACCCATCTCCAATTAGCTACAAAGGAATAGAATGATAACCTGCACAGAACTCTGCCCCATCCTTGGCATGCACCACATTTTATTCAAGTATCAGGTATTTTTGTCCTTGTGATCCATAGTCAGGTTGCGTACTGCACATGGGCCTTATCGCAGTGAGCTTACATTAGCTGTACTTTCATTTAGTTGTGCTTCCATTTATCTGTACATTTAATTATTTCTGTACAGTTTGCTGAAGGGAGTGCTTGGCTTATTCATTTTAATTGTTGATAGGACATGAAATTTATTGTAGAACTAGGAATAACATAGCATGTACGGAGGTATCAGCTTGAAGAAGAACCTTTTTTTCAGAAGAAATGTATCAGTGGAAATCTTGCTCACCTCCAGGCATCAGTATATTCATTCAAATGTTACATTTTTAAAAGTGTGTATTTTTAAATCTGGAAATGTTTATTGGTGGGTGTTCTAAAAATAGGTCACAGAGTCTCAGCCCAGCCTCTCAACAGGGAGGTTCTGGGGATAAGCTTGAGAACAGGAGGAGGAGAATGATGTAAGATGCTTTAAGATCTTTTGTAAAAAGGCAGGATATAAATCAAGTAAATACCTTAAATTTATTTACTTTTCAATTAAATTTCTATCCTGCCCTTAGTTTCTGAATTAGAATGTTGGCATATAGGTCTTACATTTTTTCTTCTAAAGAGTATCATGTTTCATATAATGGCATATTCAATTTTCACTGAATTCCATTAGTAGAAGAATAGGATGCAAATTGAATGGCATATGGGTGGGGATATTTGAATATGCTTCAAATTGGCATCCCTGGCCAACTTGCCAATGCTCAAGCACCCTGGGAGCTGTGGTCCACCACAATTGGAAGACAGAAAACAAACCGGCTAAACAGGCAGATGACCAAGCGCCAGCCTTTCAGGCTCATGGGGGCCAGGCTAGGGCCATGTGAAAGAGCGAGGTCTGAAGAGGCATTCGGCTTGCACTCATCTGCACCAGAGCAGAATCCACCACACAGCCAGGGACCCCGGTTTATTATTGCTCATTGTCCTGCTTTGGCTGCAGCAAAGTGAGGTGGCTACCCGAAGAACCAGGCAGGGAAACAGGCCAGCGTTTCAGGCTCGTGGGGGCCAGGCTAGGGCAAGAGTAGCCAAGCAGTCAGGCTGAGCGGGGAGCAGCCAGGGCTGACAGGCAAGGGTCAGCACAGTCGGGCGGCCCAGTGCATTGCTCAGTCTGGAAGCAGAGGAGCATCAGTCCCATGGCGAGGTCTGGGAGACGAGGCAGGTGGCCCTGGAGCGGCAAGCACAGCATTGGTTCCAGCTCTGGCTAGTCAGACGTGGAAGGTTTTCTTCACTAGAGCCTACCATGCGGAGCCACTTTCTCCCAAGGCAGCCTTCTTTGCAAGGAAGCACTCCTCCTCATGGGAGCCCAGCCCCGCGAGGCATCGGGGTGCCCGGGAGGCAGAGTCCCTACTCCTGGCAGCAGGAGATCTGCAGCCATCTCCCCGGAGGCCCAGGCACTTCTGGTCTGCTGAGCTGGGCTGTTCCTTGTCTCTGGGAGCTTGGGCTGCTCCCCAAGAAGGATTGCTCCAGCGGTGGCATGGCAGGCCCCAGGTTGAGGGAGGCTGCTCTATCTGCACAATATGATCTCTGTTACTGCGATGAGAATTGACACGCATCTAATCTAAAAATCCATTCTTATAATTTATAAAAGACTAAAATCTTACCACTTGAGGAGATACTTGAAATGGATCTGTCTGTTCTCAGGAGCTCATCTGTTTCTGATGCTTAGCATTGTTTTTCATTCTGTACCACGTGCTAGCTTGCACTTTTGTTTGAACGCTTAACAAGTTATCACATTTTTTTTTTGGCATGTATCAGTGAATTAAGCACACGATAGGCTTCCAAGGAAGTGGATGAATGGAAGCTGGATCCTTCATGTGTAGTGAGGAGCTTGGAAATGTGTGGCAAGGGAAAGGGGATGCATGCTCCTTCAGCTTCATGAGCAGTGGAGGCAAACTTGGAGCCACGAGCTGAGGGAGGGAGAGGTTCCGAGGCTCAGGGAGAGCTGATTTTATAGCATCCATAGCTCCCTAACAAACTCCAGCATGCCATGAATCTTTCATTTAATCTCTTCTGACATGCCTGTCATTTTCTCCAGAGAGGAGCGGAGAATCTCTCGCCGAAGGAGGTCATTAGCTGTCAGGAAGGTTCCGACTGCCTTCCTGCCTTTGTATCGATTAAGCTTCCACGTGTGCGCAGGCACTGTGGAGGGAATATTGATGAGGCAGCCAGAACTTTGGCTTGGGCTAAAAATTGGGTGAATCTTTCACTGGGGTAGGAGAGCAAGGCCTCATGGTGATGCGGGATGGAGATATAATTTCAAATTTGTGTCTCTCTGTAAGCAGCCCTCCAAGGGACGTGCTCTGCCTTTGGTCCGTTACATTTTCATTTCCTGTGCAGGAGATTTCTTTCCCCTACTCTGGGAAAGGCAAAAACTAATGTTGCCAGCTCTGGAGAGCAGAGAATCTTGCCGCTTAGTTTCAGATATGACGGTTGCTCAGTCTATACACTTTGTCAGAAAATGCTACACTGCTGAATGCTAAGTGTTGGTTAAAATAAAATCATTTGCATCATAGTTTTTAGTATATATGTAGTGAAACTGCTATACTTGGGTTGTACAGCACTGAAAGAGCTCTGGAAATCAGGTTTCTTCTGGTTGCATATATGCTGAACGTGCTTATAAAAAAAGAATCCACATTCTACACCAAGTTAATGCAACTTCTCTGTCAGGAGACACTGAAGTCCTCTGCCCAAGTAAATTATGCACGCAATGTGTCTTTCAATAGATTTGCCGAGTTTCCATCAGTGATTTGGTTTCTGCTAGTGATAGGAGAGGTAAAGAGCTATACCAGAACACAGCCAAATTCTGTCAACACCATTTTTATATGCAAGGGAAAAAATGGAGTGGGCGGTCTGAGGAATATGTTGGATCAAATCCAGGTTCAAATACTATTTCCCCCAAAATGTCATCTGTCTGGCAGAGTTCTAGGAAGCGACTTAAAAGATAAGAAAAATTATCCTTTTCTCAAAGATAGGAAGATCCTTGGATAAGAGGGGTTTTTTGTTTCTTTACTGTGTCTTACTTTTGGCATATGGTCATCTCTGCTAACAGCAGGTGCACTTGGAATAAGTCAGTACATCCCTCTAGTCTCTGGATTGACTCAGATGCTCTGCCTACTTCTTTGTGTCTTAGTGTGACTAATGTTCTCTTTGCTCTGTTGTGTCTCCCCTGGCAGTATTTCTATGAAGGGAATGACATCAGTGACCTTCCAGTGAACCTTTCTGTGGTGTGGAATGGAAACTTCATCATTGACAATCCTCAGAATATCCAGGGTAAGTCAAAGTTATGGGTGGGGGCAGCGTTAGATATGGGGAAGCTTCCTCTGAGAGGAGTCGAAATCCAGAACACACACTGTCCTTACTTTCTCTCATACCCATCAAGGTAAATTGCCTCCCAAATAAGATGTTCTTTCTCAGGAACATTTTCTCTGTAGTGTCCCTTACAAACACGGCCAGCCATTCAGCATCTCACTGGAAATTAAGAGTGCATCCACTCTATAATATATACATTAAACACTGGTCAGGTTTTAGTCATACAAGTCCTATGCAAGGAATGCAGGGCATGGTAGTTCTGAGGATGGACAATCTCATATAGACTTGGCTGACTAAGCTATGACAAATGTATCAGTTCACTAGTTGACATTTGTGGTATAGATATGTCCTGGTCTGTGACTGTCAACTAAGGTGTTTTTATGTAAGACTTTTATTATACTATTGCTTTGTCCCATTCATGGCATTTATAGAAGGTCCAGGCATTGTCTTCCTTTGTATCCTCTCATGTTTCTCCGCCACTTTTATCTTTCTACTAACCATAAAAAGTTCATTAGACAGAGCAAGAAGAAATAGTCTTTTGATTGCTTTCTGCTGTTTTATTGTTTTAATTCTATGTTGTAAGCTGTCCCGAGATGCTGAGGCATGAGGGGATGGCATATAAAAGTTTAGATAGATAGATAGATAGATAGATAGATAGATAGATAATCAGTAGTGCTAGGATGGCATATAAAAGTTTTAAATAAATAAAAATTTAGTTAGTTAGTTAGTCAGCAGTGCTAGGAACCCTCCTTCTGGATGCACCGAGAGAACCTAATGGTTGGGTATCTGCATTATGTTAAATCCCTTGCTGGCCACATTCAACTGTGATCACTGAATGAGCTCAGGATTCACAGTCCTGAGGTGGACAGCTGTCAGCCTGGGCTAACAGAGGCAAAATGGAGAACAGTGCAGCCTGAGTTGCATTTCTGGACAATGTAAAAAAAAAATCCACCAGAGGGATATTTGTTTGGCAGTTCTGCCTTGCCCGTACCTTTTCTCTCTAACTGTAAGAAGGCATCTACATTTTCTTTCCGCAGCTCACCTGTACAAGTGCTCAGCTCTGCGTGAAAGCTGTGGACTGTGCCTCAAAGCAGACCCGCGCTTTGAGTGTGGCTGGTGCGTTTCAGAAAAGCGATGTTCCCTGCGCCAACATTGCCCAGCCTTTGAGGGCAGCTGGATGCATGCTAGTAATGGCAATAGTCGCTGTGCAGACCCCAAAATCATTAAGGTATGTTGTTTCTCTTAGATAGGCAGAGGGAAGCTTTTTTCCCCTCAGTGGGGAACTGACTGTACTGGGGGTATATGGTGACATGCAGTTCTGGCGTGACTTAGGGAATGCTTGGAGTATCTTAAGGTGTGCTCCTCTGGCTGGTGGATTCCTGTAGCACATGATGTTGCTAGCATTCGTTGGATAGTGTTAGTCCTGTTTGATATGCAAAGATGTTTGCAAAGAGAACTGGGATAATTTAATTACTATTTTTCTTTTGCCCTCTAGCTTCCGGTGATTTTAGTTCCCCTCTCTAGGGGAACAATAGAACTCAAATGGTACATTTTAAGTGATATGGCTGGCTTATTAGAGTTCCTTGGTTAGTATAGTTGAAGTGCTCTAAAGAGGAAGACAAGCATTCTGAAGTGAGTGGGAATGGGTTTTGACACACATTCATTGTATTGCAAGACATTTATTTCTATGTACAAACAATATATGTTGAAATCACACTTAGAATATATATGTCTATTTTTACTCAAAGATCTAGTGATGGAAATTACCACTACAGGCAGGATACCAGGATGTTGTCTTATGCGCTTCTGTACTAGTTTCTCTCTTCTGTGTTCAGAATTAATGTTCACATCTCCATCCCATCCTGACTGCTTTTGATGGAGGCTTTTAGGGTTTCACAGGATTCCTGACCAATAAGCTTCTTAGAGTGGACGAGGTTCCTCAGCACCACTACTGCTAAAACTGCCTTCTTAGCCAACCTTCCTGTCACTTCTTTAGGACTGGTAGTTTATCATTCCTCTTCTCTGACAGCTGTTATGACCTTCATTTAATAAGATTGTGTATATTAGTGTTAACATGTCAGTTGGGCCAGGCTCCAAGTGTATTAGCAGGGATTGGTAGGTAATTCTGTTTGATATGTTCTATTTACCCATAGATTGCAGGGCTGGCAGGCCTTAGTGCTGTTAATTATGAAAGTCTTAGCACAGGACCTAAGCTAATCAGGTTTCAGTGTCATACCTGAAGGAAAGAAATTAGAATAGCATCCCTCAGGCTTCTCAAGGCCATTCATTTTCATTGCTTATGGCCATTGTAGGCCACAGTGCTGTCCCTGCTGAAGGAAGAGACCCTGGCCAGTTCAGGTATCTTCTATCCAAATAAAGCATGGCTATAAAATTGAGGGTTATAGGTAGGAAAGGATGAAAAAGTCTACCAGCCAAAATCACTGAGATGGTGGAGCAGATTTCCAGCTTACATAAGTACTTACCAGAAGTATCCCATGTTTTGGGGTGCTCAGGATGCTTCTCACACACGAATTCTCTATTTACTGTTCGATTGATGCACTGCATTCATACAAATATTTCCTCCCAAAGCATCCATAAAAATATGAGAAGCATGCCCTGTCTCCTGGCATGCAAACTGAAAAGATGAGACATGCAAAGGGAGGAAAGTAGAGGACAAGTCAGTCTGACAACTCCAGAAGAAAGCTGTAAAGAGGCATTTACATCCATTGGAGTTCGGGTTGATTTCCCCTTGCTGGTGGCCTCACTTGGATGGAAATGCTCCAACAGATCATGTCCCTGTGGCTGATGACAGAGGCCAAAATGTGCTTCCTGTCCGCTTTGCAACCAGAGGGCACTTGGCAATTGGAGCTTTGTGTTTTTTTCTGGCAGAGAGGGACGAATAAAGTTCCCTGCAGCTGCTCCTTCTCTGGACGATGGCTGGGGGCAGGCCATTCTTCCCCTTGCCTTGCAATTCTTCCTGGGAGGCAGAGAGTTTAACCTCCCACTGACTCGTAGACCTCTGGCTGACTGGTGACAAAGTCAAGATTGTGCTGTTCCTCCCCATACATGCCTGTTATCGCTCCAGTACGCTTAGCCGAGAGCTTAGAAATGGTCCTTTTATTAGAGTTTAACGGGTTAACAAAATATTAATCATTGTAATATTCTCTTGAAGATGTGAAAGAAGTATCATGAGAAGAGTTCCATCCCCACTGAAAGATCCTCTCCTTCCATCACTTTCAGGAAGATTCCAGCTCCACCTCAGGGTGGTTCCTGCAGCTTGAGGGCTAGATGGCAGGAGCAAGGGGCACATCTTACTTGGGCTGCTCACTTTGCCTCTTCCTTGTCCCTTCTTTTCCAAGGGCAGCTGATTCTCACACTCCGTCGAAGCATCTTCACTTAGTAACCTAGAAACAGCAAAATCACCTGTCCTCCTCTGTCCCTCGGCTTCCTCCTCAAAATCGGGCAAATCTGTCTGAAGAGTTGCACGTACCAGAACTGGGGTCCCTCTCTGCATCCACTTTCCTTCAGCTCTGATGTCTGTGGGCAGCATCCCTGTTGAATAGATTGCATTATTATCGCCATACCATAGATGTGGAGTGGGACTCAGGCTGAATGAAGAAGGGCTTGCCCAGGCCTGCCTGCTTAATGCATTGCTAAGAAAAGATTTTTACCAGAGGCTTCTTACCCAGTTGTCTGCCCTATCTGTGAAGGAATTGAAAAGCCCCAAATTTAAAATGAGAGAATTACAGTTGGAAAAGACCTTGAGGGTCATTCTTAGCTTAGCCATCTCCAACCTTGTGCCCACCAGGTGTTTTGGATAACTACTTTCAGTGCAAGAAATGTCTTCTAGCATCCTCCTTATCTGCTCCTGGAAAAAAGATCTAATGGCATCTTTGTTCAATTTGTTCCATTTTCTTAACTATTTTTCCAGTTAACAGGTTTTTCTGGTATCTAACTTTAATTTTCATGGTCAAAGGTTAGGGTTAGGGTTTGACATTTGACCAGATACAGAAAGTCTCCCAAACTGAGGATCTGCTACATCATTACAACCTTGCCCAGAAGAGGATCACACCTTATCAGGTTCTTAAACAGTAGTCCCCTTTCTTCCTGTTAAACAAATTGAGCTGACTAGAATCTTAAATCTTGATTTATAGTATTTACAGATGCACCTGATAGTAAGCTATGGGACTTTCAGAAACCAAGTCTAACTGAATCCAGTTCCCCAAAGCATGAGTATCCAACAAAAAGGAGAATGGTTTATGAACCTGAAACCATAACGTGCAGCCAGATCTAGGAGTGTTTTATGACGCATCATCATTTGTCTGCTACATTTGAGTAGTTGCACGTTTGAGCATTTGGTTCTAATGCTACTCCCTGCATCTCTAAATAATTAAAACCAAATTAAGAACTTGTCACAGTAATTATAGGCACTGTGTAAGCAAATCAAATAATGTACCTTTCCATGCATGTGGAACTTGGTGGCCTACATTGTTGTTTTTCCCCTCGGGTATTGCTCTGATGAAAGCCTTGAAGGCCTCACAGTCTTCAGGAAGGTTCAGTGGCAGCTTACTGGATAGGGAACTCACATTACACTGGTATGATGAGCCCTGTGCATAAATTGTTCTCCTGGAAGGTACAGACCTGTGTTAGTCTTGAGGGAGAGGGAAGGAGAGGGGGTGTGAGCCACAGCTGAATGAATCCATCTAACTAGGAGACTTTGGGGGTTTTAAAAGGGAGGTAATGAAACATAAGTTCTGCTCCATCCTTGCACATAGTGCTGAAATAATGCACTCCTCCCTCTTGGAGTACCAGCATCACTAAGGGAGAACCAACAGTTTTGTAGCAAATTGTTGACCAGAAGATAGAAATGAGTTTTCTTCTTGGTACTGGATTTCTTTTTACTTTCTGGGTTGTAGGGGAGCAGCATTTAAGACCAGAGAGACTGAGTTAGTGAGGATATGTTGGAATGGGTGATGGCCTCCTAATTAAATGAAATCACTCTGGTTTTAGTTGTTGGGATTAGTGTGTGTGTGTGGGGACATATCTCCTTCATGGATCACTGCCTTGTTGTGGCAAAGGGGCTTGCGTAGCTCAATGAAACTATGAGCTATGCCATGCAGGGTCACCCAAGACCGACAGGTCATAGCAGAGATCTCTGACAAAACGTGATCCACTGGAGCAGGAAATGGCAACCCACTCCAGTATCTTTGCCATGAAAACCCCATGGACAGTACCAAAAGGCAAAAAGATATGACACCGGAAGATGAGCCCCTCAGGTCGGAAGGTATGCTACTGGGGAAGAGCAGAGGGCTAGTACTAGTAGCGCCAGAAAGAATGAAGCAACTGGCTCAAAGCCGAAAGGACACTCAGTTGCTGATGTATCTGGTGGTGAAAGGAGAGTCCGATGCTGCAAAGATCTATACTCCATAGGAACCTGGAATATAAGATCCATGAATCAAGGCAAGCTGGATGTGGTCAAACAAGAGATGACAAGACCGAACATCGACATCTTAGGAATCAGTGAACTAAAATGGACAGGAATGAGTGAATTTAATTCAGATGTTCATCAGGTATACTACTGCAGGCAAGAATCCCTCAGAAGAAATGGAGTAGCCTTCCTAGTCAATAAAAGGGTAGGAAAAGCAGTACTGGGATCCAATCTCCAAAATGACAGAATGAACTCAGTTCAAATCCAAGACAAACCATTCAACATCACAATAGTCCAAGTCTATGCCCCAACCACTGGTGCTGAAGAGGCTGAAGTTGACTAGTTTTGTGAAGGCCTACAACACCTTCTAGAATTAACACCAAAAAATGATGTTCTTATCTTCATGGGGGATTGGAATGCTAAAGTAGGAAGCCAAAAGATAACTGGAATAACAGGCAAGTTTGGCCTTGGAGTACAAAATGAAGCAGGGCACAGGCTGGTAGAATTTTGTCAAGAGAATACGATGGTCATAGCAAACACTCTTTTCCAACAACCCAAGAGACGACTCTACACATGGACAGCACCAGACAGTCAACACAGAAAGCAGATTGATTATGTGCTCTGCAGCCAAAGATGGAGAAGCTCTATACA